TCTTCATTTGTCCCATTGTCCCAAGTCATGTTCATCATTTTCCAACCTATTTTCTGAAGTTGTACCTCTCCTTCTAGTGCCAACACATAGTATGGCTGTCTTCCTACCTTTCCCCATCCAATCATAATTTTTAATTATATTGGCCCTCTCATTCTTCACTCCCCAATAATATGATGCTGTTTTCCTCATTTCCATTTCTCGACCTTATGCTGTTTGTCTGTCACTGCCCCCAGTATTATGCTATTTTACAGACAACCTTGGCCACTATTTCACCAGAGATTTTCTTTAAATATAGCTTAATGTCATGTTCTTTCTGCCATGTTCCACCCTTATTTTCTGTCCCCTTTCTTCAATGTTGTGCTCCTTCTCAACAGTCCTGTTCTCAATTTTATTCTAATTCACTGTCACCAATGTTTTTCGATGTTTTGCTCCTCTTCTCCCACTCCACTGTCCTTATTTGGATTCATCCCAAGAGAAGATATGAAACTGTATCTTCTATTGCGATTAAAATGACCATGGATTATTAATCATTATGTGTTAAATTTAATTTTATACTGCTTTCATGTCTTTGGGGTCTTTTTTGCATAACAATTCATTTAAAAAATCCATAAGCATATATGTCATTAAAAATCTAGTGCACATATAGATTTCCTCTCAACACTTAGGTCAATATTCACAAACAAAACTTTCTATGCAAACACTAATAATTAAATTTTGTATATTAATACTTCAGTATCACAGTTGGATAAACTAAATGAAAACTCAAAATGTTTTTCAAAATAACATACTTTTTCCCTTAATTAACTTTAAATTTCCAATATCCAAACATTTTAGTTTCATCTTACACTCAAAAAATTTAATTATTTTTCAATAACAATTAGATTTATGTATTAATTTTCCTGTCTTTAAATATCAGTATTGAAGTGTTTATTTGAAGATTTCAGCCTCAACCAAAAGCCTGCCTTGGAATTTATAGTTTTATCAAGGAAATTAACTCTGCAATTTGAACATGCGCAAAATTTCTCCTGTTCCCTTACTTTAAAGTTGTAGGAGTTAACTAAAATATATCTGGAAACCTATGGCTAATACTCAAGAGGAATAAACACCTCAACTTATCATGAAGTCTTATCAGAAATTACCAACTGAAAGCCGCATTCAAAAATTTACAGTCACGTGCTACCGGTGAGAGAGAAATAAAAATCACAGGATCTTTTTTAATACAATGCGTGTGTTTGACTTCCTTTCAAGCCTGCTATCATGGAGACAAAAATGTCAAACATTTAAACATCTTAACAATACAGAATGAAATAGCTATGTTTCGACACAGTGCCTAATTTGAAAGAGCAATTACCAGATCAAACCAGAAATGAACTGCTTCACATTTGTTAAATGAGGAGCAAAGAGAAAGAGATACAATTGGAGAAGAAAAAAATATTTCCACTTGCAGACTTATTGTACAGTTGAGAGATTTCCGGTGGTACACGTTTCAAAGAAGTAGTTTGAGACTACTGAATCAGATTTTCATAATATTCTTGACATATTACTGCAGAGTACTGTCAAGAAATGCTGATTTCAAAAAATAAGAATAAAACATTTTATATGTCTGACCTTTGCTTTCATTCAAGAAATATAGTGTCCATACAAATAAAGTGACACCACAGCACTGAGGCCATCAAAACCTATGCTTACTACTTCTAAGCTTTGTTTTCCTTATAGAAATGCCCATGGCGGATGGCAACTGAGCTTCTCACTAGTTGTTATCTGATGCTCTCTATTGGGCTCTAACTTGGCATCCAAGTTCCATTCCTGGATCAGGCCATCTCAGGCTTTTACCAGCATTCACAACCTCAGCTCACATCGTCTGAATCATTGTGATGAGTGAGACAGAAATTCTGGGAGATCGATGAGAATCGATATAAACATAACTATGAATTGTAAAACTATCAATTCCTAGGCCAAGCTTTGGGGAGAGGTTGAAACCTTCAAGTAAACACTTCAATCAAGATATTTAGAGACAAAGTAAGTGCATACATTTAACTGCAATTGCAAAATAATTAAACGTAAGGATTATAAGTTGTAAAAATCAGTAATTTCATTGTGGGAAATTGATATCAGACTAGCGGGCCCTCAGTGAAATCAAATCGAAACTCAATGTACATGCATCAATTCACATTGGATCAAAAAATAAGTTTGCAAAAATAAAAAAATTAGCACACTGTTCAGTGGTGGCATGGAGCCATAACATCAGACTATAAGGAGGAATGATCAAGAGTAATGAATCAGGTTATGGTAGCTGCAAAATGTAATTATGGTCCAGACATTTGAACTGAAAATGATAAATGAGCACGTCAGTGCCATAATGCATAAAATGAAACAAGCACGAAAAGCTCGCCCCAAAAGGACACTTGTGCACAGTCCCGAACAACTTCCATTATAATAGGTATAAACTGCCGGTTAAACCACAGACACAAATTACAAACTACAGACAGCACTGAATGCATCATAACTTTTTTTTTGATGTGAGGAAATCTTTTTATCGAGCATCAAAAGTGGCAGAGAAACTCCTCAGTCTCTCGCATTCAATAGCTGCACAATTCTATCATCGGGATAGATAGGTTTCACTGCCACAATGGATGCTTGGTAATGAGACTTTCTTTAAGATAAAAGCTAGAAATTATTGCCTTGGGAAAGTAGGTTCTCACTAGTTGGAGTTACAGCCAAAAGTATAGCAAAAAGTAAGATGGCCAGCTTTGGAGGCCATGGCATTATTCATCAGAGTAGTGTCCTGGACCCAAACATCTTCAGTTGCTTCATTAATGACTTACCATCTAACCTCGGTAATCCAAATGTTTCTTAATGATTGCACAATGTATAGTATTAAGCAGTCTTTGCCAGCATTCAGCAAGATTTTACCAACATTCAAGCATATGCTGATAAGTGGTAAGTGCTGTTCATATTACACAAATGCCAGGCAGAGGTCATGTTCAACAAGAGAGAATTTAACCATTTTCCCTTGATGTCCTTTGGTATTACCATATCTGAATTCCTCATCAACATCCTGATGTTGATTATTGACCAGAAATTTAACCGGAGCAGCTGTTTAAATTTTATGGCTGAAGAAGCAAGTCAGAGGCTGAGGATTTTATGAAAAAAACTCAGTTATGGACTAACTCAGGAGTGTGATGGAACACCCTGCACTACTTGTCTGAATTAGTGAATATCCATCGGCACTGAAGAAGCTTGACAACACCAGGATAAACAGCCCACTTGATTGATATTCCATCGATTGATTTCAAGACTCATTGCTTCCACCGCTTGAATTTGAGCTGGTGGCATATGGTTTTTCTGTATATCTTTAGGGGTTTAATTGTCAACTTTCAAGCATTTCTGCACCAACAGTTGTGTCTTGTTTTAAAAAAAGTCTGAGGGAGTTAATATTGGAGTCTACTAGGAATTTGCTGACATTAGGAGAGTTTACGAGTGAACAAAGTGAATAGTGGTGTATTAAGCTTTCAGATAGAAGATTCTGGAACTTTTCTTTCGGGGGGCGGGGTTTAGGGGAAATACCCCTAGCTTGGAAAGAGAAGTTTCAGTTTGGGTAGTTCTGCAGAGTTCTTGGTTGAATTTGTATGCGTAAAGCAATTGCTCTTGAAAAAGGGAGAAGGTCATTAGAATTATTAAAAATAGGTAACCTCGGTGTAAGGAATTTAGTTTAAAAGTTCCAGACCAGAAATATTTGGTTAAGAAACTGGAGATGTTAATTGAAGCTAAGGAAATTTAGCTCAATTATACTGATGAATCAATTATATTTTCACAAATGTAAATTGAAACCAGAGAAATGAAACCCTACTGTGGGATAGAGGAGGACATTCTCTCTGCTGTTGAGATTAATGGGATTGTATTTTTATTTTTTGTGTTTTGAAATCTTTAAACATGTTATATGTAAACCGCATTTTATCTTCATTTTTTTCATGTAGTAAAATTTTGAATATTGGTAAGCCCGAATCTGCAGCATCATAAGTTTGTGTTTTAGTGAAAGGCTACCTTGATAAAACAAAAAAAAGGCAAATATGATCTATCAAGCCAGATTTTGGTCTGGGTGCGGATTAGTTGAGCAAAAACATCAACTGGGATCATAACGTGTGGACCACATTTTCAACACAAATCATCTTCCATGAGCAACTGACAGAATTAATAAACTGATGGGAGGCCAAGAATTATGCTGCTATTTTAGACTCTGGCAGTCCACAAAACATGACCTTCCCTTTTCCTGTGTCACATTTATCCTTATAAAACTATCTTAATTCTAGGCATTACAGGAATAAGTGAGGGGGCAATTACTTCCTCTTCCATTATTTGTATGGCAATCAATACCTTGTCAAACAGATTACAACCATTAATTAAAGTTTAACTAATTAACATCATTTCAAAAGGGTAGGGATTATGTTCAGTCACGTAATGAAAATCTCCTTCTACTATTGCATACAGCAAGCACAAATCACTAATAGGCAGATTCCTGAGAGTTGTGAAGAGACAGATCTCATGGAGCATTCAAAGAGCTAACACTTCAATGAAAAATAATTTTTATCACTCACCAAAAGGTTAAAAGCAGACTAGTACCCGGCTTTTGTTTCCATTTAAGGAATGATGAAACTTTTATCAGGTAGGTAATTAACAGCTAGATTAAAAAAACTGGATTCTGAGTAAATGAGTATAATTTCAGGAGGAAGATAGACAATAGACAAAGAGGTCCCTCTCAACTTCTCATTCAAACTTTCTAAAGAATTAGCATGAAATTGATAATTGCCATTTTGAAATTAATGTTTTCTTTCTTGAGAAGATTTTGCTTGCAAGTTGAGAATCCTAACCAATCTGTCCTCATAACTAAGTAAATAGATTTGAAACCTATTAATAGCACTCCAGAGATCTATTCACATTTTCTATAATTCCTGTCTTCAGCTGAAGGGAAAATTATTGAATATATCATTACAAATACTTACTGCTGTCCAAGCACCAATCATACAACGAGAACAGGTCCAACCATCGTGGATTTCATGAAGAGGAACACCATAACAACCTACAGATCAAAGAAGAGTGACATGACTATTATTCTAAACCTAAAGTCAACAATACAAGTGAGCACCAAGGAAGTAACACTTACTTGCATGAACTTGTAGACAGCACTTTGTACAGGATATCAGCAAACTAGTTCCATCCTCTTCAATAAATGAATTGGTGGGATAGAGATCATTATTTTCTTCACTGTATGAAAAGCACATTTCTGGAATAAGCGGTTTAGTTTTATGTTGTTTGGATGGTGACAATTCAGTTGTATCAGTTTTGATTTCAGATTTGCTTTCCATGAGATGATCAGGCTGTATGTGAAAAATATATGTTGTACAATTAATTACCTGTTGCTTTTTTCCCTTTAAAAATGTTCCAAAATATTGCATCATGACAAAAGAAATTAGTGGTGGGCAACCAAGGTCAGTAGCAACACATAACACATTCAGTAGCAGAATAGAGGTCTAACATGTTGAGCCCCAACTGCAAAGAGCTGTACCAGTGTAATGTTTTATTTCCATTTACCACAGCAGCTATCCTGATGCTTCACAATGATACTGCTAAGTAATATAAAATGAAGGACAGCTTTAGGCCATTACCTACAGTACTAGAAATTCTTATAACACATCAACGTTATAACACTGGTGCAGCTGCATGGTTAAAGAGAGTCTATTTGGTTAGAATTTGGAATAGTACAGAATCTACTATATTAGTGGGAATATATGATAGGCCACCAAATTGTTAGAAGAGAAAAAGGAGAAAATTTTCAGATAAATTACAGAAAGTTGCAAGAATTACAAAATAGTGATAATAAGGTGACTTCAGTGGTCCAATATAGAGTATACTAGTAACCAAATAAATGACAAAGGAAAGGAAAAGACTTCTTGTGACTGCTTATTTCTAGCTCAAAGTGAAAGAAGTAATGCTAGATCCAGTTCTGGGGAATAAAATGGGGTACAGTATGTTTCAGTAATGAAGTATTTGAAGAAAATCAAACATAGTATCATTAGATTTAGAACAGTTATGGAAAAAGACAAGGTATAATCAAGCATCTAACCAGACAAGAGCTAACTTCAGTGACCTGAAAAGGGATCTGAGCCAGATGGTTGTGAATCAGAAACTGGTATGCAAAACAGTAATGGTACAACAGGAAGCCTCCAAAGGGGAGATGGTTCAGATGCATAACAAAATATGCTCATGACAAGGTTGCAGGCCGCTCAAAACTAGAGCTGTGTGATGTAATAAAGATATAAGAAGTTGAAAAGAGACAGAAAAAAGCTAATGAGAATTGTATGGTTTATAATACATTAGAACACCAAGCTACTGACAGAAAGCACAGAGAGCCATAAAAAGGGTAGCAATGGGCAAAGAGAGTGCATAAGAATTGATTAGAAAATAACATTTAAAAAGACCCCAATGTCTTTCAGAAACAGCTGGTCAAAGAAAGGGTAGGCACCAAAAGGAGATACACTTGTGGGCATAGAGGAGGTACTAAATGAAAACTTTGCAACTGTCTTAAAATAGGTTAGTAACGGAAGCTGCAGATATAAGGTGTTTGGGAAAAGAACCAAAGCAGCCTGAGGAATCTCTTTTTTACACAGCATGTCAGTATGCGATGGAATGCACTGTTATAAAAAGGGTGAAGGAAGTATATTTAATAGTAACATTGAAAGGAATAGGATTAATACTAGAAAAAAATCAATTTGGGGATATGAAGAAACAGCACAGATTAATTGGACAGCTCCAAAACAGCCAAAGGCATGACTCATTCAATCATTCGAGCTCATTCTATAAAGGGCTATTTCAGCCAGAAAACTTTCAATCTGTTCATCTTTACTGGATGTGAAACCAAGTATTAGACTAGAAAGCCAGTCTGTCACTTGGTTACGGATACAAAAATCCAATATTTAAGAAAAGGTTTTATTATTTTACACAGTAAACCTGTGAGAAGCGAGCACAGTGAGGGCATTTAGATATACCAAGAGTTCAGGCTGAAAGTAGAGTTGGACAAGAGGTTATTTTTTTTCTCTAATTAATACTTACTTGCTTTGAATAAAAATTGATTTGATTCTTCAAAAAAAAAACTGGCACCAAGGGCTAATCTTATTTACAGTTCAAGTGAGATGCCTGGTGGATAGCACTGCAGAGAGCTTTTTAATGTAAACAGGGGGATTAGAAGGCCAGAAAGAAATATGAAAGAAATTTAAATATAAAAGGAAATATGTAAGAGAACATGGTTCATTGTTGAGAAAGTATTAGTAGAAACAAAGGTCACAATAAACCAAATTGTGTATTGGGACTGGAGAAGAGTTAATACAGTGCCTTTGTTGAATAACAGTGAGGCAGGGGAGAGGGGAGAACTGGAGAAGAATAAAAGAATACAGCAAGAATCATGTTTGGGATTGCTTTGTCTGTTTTTTTCACAGAAATACATTTTTATGCAACAAAGGAATATTTTCCACATTGTCTAAATAATAAGCAATTTATTTATTTCTAGACTCGATCAGCCATTTTCAGACTGTAATCGCTGTACTGGTTTTGTTCTCTTTTCTTTGTTTGTTTCAGTCTTTGTTTTTCTCTTGTTTTTGCTTTAGGATGGCAACTGTTCATTATTCATGCCATGCGCACTCAAGACACTCTGTTTCCTTTTTTTGCTGCTTACCACTCCCTTTGGCTCTACACAGGTAACTCTTCTGTCACTGAATCTCTCCTATCTTCCACCTCATCACAGCCTTTACCTCTTGATTTTTTTCTAACCCTCCCCCATTTCACCTGCTTTAACTCCAGTACATTGCAAACTTTTCACAGCTCTGATTAAATGTTGACATAAAACATTACTTTGTTTCTTTCTCCACAGATGCTGCCAGATCTACTGAGTATTTCCAATCTATACAACGGTGATTTACTGTTTTGTCTAGACAATCAAAAAACATCCCTCACTAATTGTATTCTACAGTCCTTTAACTACTTATACCTGCATAGGAGGGTGAAGAATAAACAGAGACCATAAAGATGGGCTTTAGAAACCATAACATTTCAAAGGTTAGAAAAGCTGGTGTATAGTTAATAGGTGTTTGGTGTGCAAGTTCAATCAATTGGGCTTGTGTGATGTATTCTTTATTTTGTAGTATTATGCAAAATATGTTGCATGTTGAATGTTGAATGAAAAAATAAATCTGAACATCGTGACTGTTGTATATATTTAGCTACTGAAGGAAAAGAACATAGAACAGTACAGTTCGGTACAGGCCCTTTGGCCCACGATGTTATGCCGAACTATTTCCCTAAACCTAAGGTCTATCTAACCTCCACCCCTACCTTATACTGTCATCCATATGCCTATCTAACAGCCGCTTAAATGCCCCTAATGAGGCCGACTCCACTACCCTCTCCAGCAATGCATTCCACGTCCCTATCACCCTCTGAGTAAAGAACCTACCTCTGACATCTCCCCTATATCTACCTCCACTCACTTGAAAACTATGCTCCCTCGTAATAGCTACCTCCGCCGCAGAAAAAAGTCTCTGGCTGTCCACTCTATCTATACCTCTGATCATTTTGTACACCTCTATCAAGTCACCTCTCATCCTTCGTCATTCTAAAGAGAAAAGCCCTAGCTCTCTCAACCTTTCCTCGATTCCAGGAAACATCCTGGTAAATCCCCTCTGCACCTTTTCCAACGCTCCCACATCTTTCCTGTAATGAGGCGACCAGAACTGGACACAATACTCCAGATGTGGCCGAATCAGGCTTTTGTATAGCTGGAGCATAACTTCACGGCTCTCGAACTCAATCCCTCTATTAATGAAAGCTAACACACCATATGCCTTCTTAACAACTCTATCCACCTGGGTGGCAGCTTTCAGGGAACTGTGGACATGAACTCCAAGATCCCTCTGCTCCTCCACACTGCCAAGAATCTTTCCGTTAACCTTGTATTCTGCTTTCAAGTTTGTCCTTCCAAAAAGGAGAGTTTAACATTCCTTTTTGGCCTCATTACTATAAGTAGTTATTGAGCTATCTGGACAATGATTCAAGTACAGGTGCAAAAGATATGACTGTGCACTTGGTGTTACGGGAGTACAATCTTCACACTTCTAGGTCATGCAGTTATAGATGGAGTAAGCTTCCACAAAAGTAAAATCATCAGAAATATTACAGAAATAACTCATATCGCACAGCCCAAAACATTACCGTAGATGGATCTAAACATAGAAAACCTGACAGCCTGCTGTTAATTTTGGACAAACACTTAGAAGCCATAATTTCAGATTTAAATTAATATTTTGCAATGTCTACATTCATTAAGAGAGTCAGTGTGGACTTTCAAAAAGTAAATTTGTTTGACCGATTTGAGGAAGCATTATTTTAAAGACATGACTGAACAAGTAGAAGTGATGCAATATATACAGTGTGAAGATAGGAAACCAAGAGTTAGAATCAATAGGCATTACTAGGATTAGGAAAGGGGTTAGAAAGATGTATGCTAGGATTCTAAACTAAGTTCACTGTGTTTTCCATAAGTAGAAGCTTTGGACTTGAAGAGATGTAGCTGAAACAAAAATTCGAGGACTTGGAAGAGAGTTGTTCAAATTGACACGTGGGTGGTTAGCCGACTGAGTAGGCAGGTGGTAGATGCAAGTTAATGTGGAATAGTGTGAGGCAATACATTTTGAGCAAATGTGGTAGATGATTTTACCACATAATGAAACGACACCAAATGGTGTGGATGAACAGAGACACCTAGGGGCTAAATGTATAATTTACCTAAAAGGAAGAAAAGTCATAGAAAACCTTGAAAATGCAGCGTAATAAAATCAGTTTTAAAAATAGTAAAGATATCATGATTGCAAATTGTTGATTATTGCTCAGATATGTTACCATGTGCAGTTTTGGGTGCCTCATTATAGGGAGGATATAAAGTAATTAAAGCACACAATGTAAAATTAGTGAATTTAATTTCTAATTAAAACATTTAATTACAGACATTTAAAATTACCTGCATTTAACTACTGAAAGAGGAAATTTATTTTTAAGTTTTAAAATTCTGAGGAGATTCTGACAGTGACAAGAAAAAGACTATGGACATCCAACTCCTGGGAAAATAGTAATGCCTCAACAATATGCGCTACTAATAATAATTGAAATGGAAATGCAATATTTTGACTGTAAAAGAGGTAGTCTATGTATGACAATTGTTCACAAAATGCTATAAACTAATTGATAGAGATCAATTGTCATATATCAACAACTCCATTATCATTATATCATGCAATTACCGGGATCTTAAAAGGCCATTTAAAGGGACTTAAATTTGCTATCCCACAGAAATTCTTGCACCTCGACAAAAATATTAAATGAAATGAATCCAATGGATCTTTCATTCATGGTTCCTGACCACTATGGAGGGCCATTTAGTTCTATGCAAAAAATGCTTGTGCACTCTGCATGCCAATCTTGACACACAATCACTAAAGTAGCAAAGCTACAATTTATACACAAACATAATAAATAAAACAAAGAGCTGAGGATACTAGAGAACTAAAACAAAAACAGAAATTATTGGTGAAACTCAGCAGGTCTGACAGCATCTTTGGGGAGAAAGCAGAGTTAAAGTTTCGAGTCCAGTGACTCTTCATCAGAACTGGACTTGAAACATTAACTCTGCCTTCTCCCCACAGATGTTTCCAGACCTGCTGAGTTTCGCCAGCAATTTACAAATAAAACTTAATTACAAATTGTATTCTCTTCTGTTTCTTTATAAATGTATTACTCGTTCTTCTTAATCGATTCTCTTGCCATTTCACTTTCTATTTTTTAAATTTACATCAATTTTTCATATTTCCTTCCCACCTGTTCAATGCTTCCTTTCTCCACCTCTCTTTCAATGGTTAAGAATATGGAATATTCAGCCTAATGTTCATGAGGTTTCAGATGCCCCACTGAAATCACTGCATCATTAATATTACAAGGTTCCACTCACTTGTGGCACAAAGATGTGTGATGAGAGGGATAAAATAAAGTCCAAGTGACAATTCAGCATCTTGATAGATGTGTTACTGCAACAATTTATGATCTTAATTCCTCTACCTAAGGAATTGGTGAGGAAGGATGTTCAATGTTAAATTATCACAGAGGTATTAACAGTATTTTATTTTATATGAATAATTATCGAAGAATAAATAAGAATAAAAGAAGAATACTAGAGAATGGGATGCTTACCAGAGAGAGTGACTGAGGTGGAGATTCTTGAATCTCAAGAAAAAAAAAAGGTTTACAATGTGAAGCAGCCTAAGATACTGGTTCATGGAGAAAGAGCTGGGTAGTAGGATTAGTTCTGAACTCCTCACAAAAGATTTATGTCCTTTTTAGCACAAGGCTGTAGTCCTCTTGACTTAAAATGTACTTAACTAATTTCTACTCTAGTAGTATGAAGCGAATGACAAGGCTTTCTAAAGCAAAAGAAAGAGCAATTTTATTGCCTGCTAACCATGAATAAAAAAAGAAGCATTTGGCCTCAATGAAATTATGTTGTCCCTCACACACAAACACATACATACTTAAAAAGGGATAGTGTCAATCATGAAGTATTGCAAAGCAATATACAGTTTAAAATCCAAGCGTGTACTTGAGCTGTAAGCCCGGACCATAGTCGTCTTGCTGATGCCTTGGATCATCCACAAGAGTGAACAGCTGTGGTTATCCTTTAGAGTTTTAATATGCATTGGCACTGGACGTTATTTCTTTCCTCATGTTTAGAGCTATATCCTATATTTAGTCTTACCTTTCTGCCAAAAGCAACTTCTTGGAAGGAAAGAATGTGTACATATTCTGTTTGCAGAAATTATCTTTTTAGGCTTGTTAATTGTAGATGAGGTTTCATATCTAACATGTGAAATTCTCAAAATTGCCAATTAAGATAGAATACAAGGGCATTTGTGCTCCATCCTGACCTTTCGGCTGGCTTCGTGGTCTTTGAAAAAAAATGTTACCATTTCAGTTGAGCTGTTGTGCTGAAAATTAGCCACTTGTGGTCAGGACATGCCTGTGGCAATTTCAATTGTGTTTTTGATCCCATCCCTCCACCACCAGCCCACCACCCAGATGGGATACTCTTTGGAGGTTTGGTGCAGACTCAACAGGGTGAAGGGCCTCTTTTTGTACTATAGAGATTCTATGATCTACTGGTTCTCAGTAGCCACAGCCTTTCCCTGGCAAACTTCAGACACTGTTTATGTTTAAAAATGCGTGTGTTCAGTTTAAGTCTAAGCTTATCTTGTAAATTTCCCCTGTTTCCTGTGGTAACTTTTTCCAATTCCCTCCTGAATTCCCAACAATTCTGTTGTTAAAATGAATTTTGGTCTTGACATTTGTTATAAAATTGTTCTAGGTTTTATTTGATCTTTCACTTTCTTTACTATCCAGGGTATTTCAGCTTCAGGTACTCTTTTTTCCCCCTTTCAAATAAGATAGCTTGTTTAAATTTAAGCTACTTCTATGCTAAATGCTCTCTGTTACTGCTCAACCCTGCAACTGCCTTTCCAATCTACATGTACTCTTCCCCTGCTTAAATCACAGATACTAGCTTCTCCAGTTGAGTATTTTAACATTGATATTTTCTGTCTTCTTCCCGTAACTGAATTAGGTTGTGCTCAATGTTAACCAGGTTGCATTCTGTTCCTTTACTCAAATCTAAAAGATTCAGTCGTTATACTCTCTCATGTATCCTTTCTATTTAAAATGCTTACATCATTCTTAATAAATGCTTTCACATACAGATTCCTGTTTCCTTCTCTATCATTTCACAATAATCAGTAAACAGGAATAAGAAGAATCCATTCTTAGTCTTGTTTGATACATTTGCAACCACGTCAGAAATCTCATATTGTAACTCATGCCTGCAGTTGACCAACCTTACTAGCTATGTTACAGATGTGCACATACATATAATCTATTGCTTCTTTCTTTGTTGCAAACCTCAATGCTCTATATGAAGTAGCAGCAAATTGATAAGTCAATCAGTTCAAAAGTATGATCTGATTGATTCTTAACTTTTTGCATCTTGCTAACTCATTGCACACTCAAATAAATAGTGCAAGTACAGATCAATCAGTACCTCTTAAAAAAATTATATTTCAGGTGCAACTCTTCTTCAGATGAGAAATATTCTGCCAGACTTCAGTGAGTCATTGTGCTTTTGAAGGACAAAGAATGACCAATTAAATTATTAGCCTAAAATGTTGGCAGTGATTCATAAGCAATTCTTCAAGTTTTAAAGTATTTCCTAATTCAGACCAATATCTTTTTGTTAAATGATCCTGTCTTCAAATGTTAAAACTAGACAATTTGCTGATACTGTTCAAGTGAGTTTCTTCTTTCCTCTATCACCCTCAAACACTCACTGACTTGAGACCATTAAACATGGTCAGACAGCCTGCATCTACAATCTATTGTATAGTTTAACATAGTACCTACAAGCACAGAAATAGACAATTCTGCCAAATATGTCATCATAAGTGTTTAAGCTCTATAAAAGTCTCATCCAACCCTCTTCATCAAATCCAAAAGATCCTTCCATTTCTTTCTTTTGTGTGACATTCTAGATTCCCTTTAAAAGCATCCATGCTATCTATTTCATTCCAAATTGTCATCACCCTCCAAATGTTGTTCCCAAGTAGATTTAATAGCTGTTCCAATACCTGTGGCTCCTAAAATTAATTTGAGACTTAACACTGAAGATCTATGGTCACAATCACAATGCGGGGTAGGGGGGAGGGTTTGAACTGTGTAAAGTGCTCAGATTCATCATCTATCAACTATTTTTTCAAAAGAAACAGCATTTTACCTGGTAATAAGGAAAGAAAAGTGAGCAAATGGCACAATATGGTTCCATTTTCGAGGCTTCTTCATTATATTCCTTCTCTGCTTGAAAATTATGTGGTTTATTCTGCCAGAGTTGGACAAGAGGTTTGGCCCAAGGCTGAGTTTCATTTACCTCTTCTTCATTGGATGTGGAATCAACCAATTCTAAAAAAATATAAAATCATTTTACTTTCACTTTTTGCTTTCCAAAAGAATCAATTATATTGAAACATTGGCATTTATTCTCCTTTCTAATGGCACATTGCACATTCTAGATAAGGAAAATTTGTCTGTTGAAATATTGCAGCAACACTAGATTCTATGGTACCAGGATTACTTATCATCTAAGTATAAGATAAAGTTTCTCTTTCCTAGTATAGTGACCTTCAAATAAACTTAATTCCACATGGCCATTTCTGTATATAAAGTGAGGCTTGAACTTCAAAGTCACAGCAATTCAATAACTTGTAATTAATTACAGAATAGAATGGTGATAAAAAAATACAAGAAGAAATTATTCTGCTGATCTTTCAAACAGGTTAAGCAATAATACATTCTGGTCAATATTTATAGCAGCGTAATATCAAGAGACTGCCAAGCTCTCACCAAATGTAGCACAACTGCAGCCCAAATTTCTGAGGACCAGTCAACATTTTCTGTACAAGAAAGTTAAATCTAACAAATTAGTTTTGGCTTGTATATGTGCTGTATCTTCAAAATATTTATCTCTATTTCGTACTCTGATGTTTCACTTGATTGATCCATGCTGTATACAGCTGCAAATGCTACTAATGCTCAGAAAAAAGTATTTTTTTTAAGGCACTATTATCATGCTAGGTTTACAATCAAATTAAATGCATAGTTGAGTTCAAAAGGTATTTCTTGCAGGAAAATATATTACGTACATTTACAATATTAAATTGAACCTTTTACCCATTATTTGCGTTTCATTTACTTTCTCAGATTTATATCTCTAATATTTGCCTTGCTTTAAATTCAACTATCCATTTCCACCATTCTTCCCCGTAATTCATTGTTATTTGTGGAAAATTAGATTTCTACTTATTCACAATATCCTTTGCATATTTCTTAAAGCACACGCTGTTTAAATGTTTTCTACAAAATTAAGAAAATAATACACAAGGATGTGAGAGGCAGGGTGAGGAGATGGCAGCAAGTGCTATTGTTCAGAGCCTCAGTTCATGGAACATCAACCTAGTTTTGTGGATGACTGTCAAGTCCTTTTGACCTCATCATCATTCCCACCCATCCACACTTCATGCTCCTTCATATTTCTCAAGCCCCCTCACTAACATTCAGCCAATATCGACTATGGACGGAACCCATTGATTCTATAATAATTCTTGAATGTCCTTAAGTTGCTCTTGAAATAAGTAAATTGCTCATTCACTAAAACTCATATTGAACAACAATGCTCCTTTTAGAAGCGTATAAAACTTACAATCAAACACTCTAATTGAAACTCCCCCTAAAATCTTGATTCTCAAATGATTGCAAATCTATTAAAGTAAAAAAATCAAAACCTTCTCTCATCCATTTGTATCTATTAGCTGCACATTAACTTGTTAAAATAATTGTCAGTTCCCTCCACAGTTGTGCATACAATGTCGGCTGAGCTAAATTTATTATGGGATTTGAAATTTAGACAGCCATTTATAATGTGACTCCATTGTAGAATTGAATATGTAAACCCTCAAGATCAATGCAATGGAGTTTTTGAAGCTGCCTGACTTGACAGCTAACTGTTTGTTCTTTTTGTCCCCTAAGAGATTCAATAAAAGGAGTTTAAATCAAATACATCTGGCACCCATTCGTCCATTTCAGAAACTCAACTGCCTCTCTGCCCTTGGTGAGTGCCAATCCATTCTCAGCTCTCAGTAAGGTAGGTCCTTGGTACCTAGGCTGTAAATGGTTTTGAATATGCTAAGGAATCCGTTCCGATCCAATGTTGCTGGATTTTGTGTACTTTCCGCCCACCATCTGTCTGAGAGCCCTGGTTGAAACTTCGACTTCAGGTGGTGCTTCCAGTTCAGAAACACCTTATGTTCCTGTGTCTCCTGGTCATTCTTGTCAAACTAATCTTCATGTTTTCTGGTACAGTCTCTTCATAAGGACTGCTTATACTGGATTTCAGGTTAAACTATGTAATTAGACATTCTAACCGTGAGCCATTGACTTAGTAGGTCTTTCTTGATATTATTCTCTAGTCCATGACTTCAACTTTCTGTGCAAGTTTCTATTTTTTGACCAGAATGACAGAGATTGTAGGCCAGATTAGGTAATGTGAACATCCGCGCTGTTCCTTGTTGGGATACTAACATAGTGAAGCAGCTAACAATGTCTGGAGCGAGAGTGTTACTACAAGATCTTTCATTTGCCCTTCAGATGAAAGAGGCTGTGCATTATGATCAGGGCATGCTCTAGGTATACTGTCAGGAGGAGGATTCTGTTGGTGTTTGCACTTCCTATCCCTTCTTTGACACTCAAGCCTTCCAGAAGTTGTGTCCTCCCAAGTCAGGAATTGAAATCACCAAGGAAAATCAGCTCATGTCCCTTTGAGGTGCAGGACAGCATAGGAACAAGCTAAATAGACTTCCTCTTTCACCTCTGGAGTTGGGGTGTATGCACTGATGACTGTGTTATACTATCTCTGAGTTGGGGGTCAGTTGAAGGATTGAGAAGCCTTCACCAACCCCATCGGAGGGTCTCAGCTGGAAAAAAGTGAGATGGGCATCAGGGATAAAAACAGCACAGAGGCAGCAAGAAACACTGAGGCCAGCAGCAGGGATAAAAGCAGTGCAGTTGTGATAACATTATAACCGGAAGCATCAGGAAACAGCAAGACCAGTGTATGATAGTTCCCATCCATGCAGCGGAGGCTGGTTTTCTATTGTCCTGGCTACCCCTGCCAGCGGACAAAGACCTTGATTCAACAGCACTGACTGGTACTTGGTATGCAATAGCCACCCCACATTAAATGAATTTACACCAAGGCGTCTCCCACCCCCTCAAAATTAAGTTTGAGATCTGGAACATCAGAACCCTCACTGACAACTTCGAAAGTGACATACTTGAAGTTTGCACTGCTCTTATACCCTGGAAACGCCAATGCTAATGACACAGATGTCACTAAGATGTAGCAGGTAAAAGCAGGTCAACTCAAAGAACAAGAGAGTAGTAATCACACTTTCTTCTGCAAAGGTACAACTGAGGACATCTTCTACACGTGGAAATTCACACATATCCTAGCAGGTGAAGCTAGGACAAGAGGGCATAGCCTCAAGATTAGAGGGAGCAGATTTAGGACTGAACTGAGAAGGAATTTCTTCACCCAGAGGGTTGTTAATTTATGGAATTCCTTGCCCAGTGAAGTAGTTGACGCTACTTCAGTAAACGCCTTTTAAAAAAAAGGTAGATTTTTTTTGAACAATAAAGGAATTAAGGGATACGGTGAGAACGCGGGTAAGTGGATCCGAGTCCACGAAAGGATCAGCCATGATCTTATTGAATGGCGGAGCAGGCTCAAAGGGCCAGACGGCCTACTCCTGCTCCTAGTTCTTATGTGTGTTCTTGTGTATATCATTTCAATAAGAAATTAACATTGCATATTCAATAAATAACCCATTCTAATGATGAACTCATTCTGTTTAAATCATTAGAATTATGTTTCAAGCCCTCGGCATGCTGTTCTTTGGTTCAATTAGAAAAGTTAAACACTAAGATTCACACTATGTTACAACTATAGGCTCCACAGTCATCACACCATCTAAAGAGACAGATTGAGAGTAATGAGGGGTATACAGTGCCAACACAGACAATTTAGCCCAAATAATTTGTTCTAATGTTATTTTCCACACAGTACAATAAAGACTTTGTGCAGATCCATTATTTAACAAGGAATCAAAATGATCCTCTCCTTAAGCTACACAGCTACAGGTATTAGGTAAATCAATTGTAATGGAACGGAGCTACACTATTAACTTACCACTGGTAGCAAGCACCAGTTTGAGCTACTTTATATAACTGATTACCAAACCTTGAGACCATAATTTTCTAAGCCAGGAATAAATTTTACCCACTTCTAGTTCTTGCAAGTTGCATTGGAACTCATTTGGAAGGTATAACAAAGCACAGCACATTATGATGAGGCAGAACCAGAAATCTAAAATAACACATCAGGAATACTGACATAAGTATGCAAATGCTGCTTCATCTTTGATAGCTTTATTGCAAATTTTTTTTTTAAATGAAGTAAGGAACAAGCTATCCAAAAATGTTAAAATGCAATATCAGAGGTAACTGCCTAAAAAAAAAGGCACTTCTTGTAGATTTCAAAATTGGCAAGTTGAAAATGAGCACTGTTCAAATCAATGAATACAGGTCAAATAATAGGCAGGAATCTTCAGGTTCAATTAACCATAGAAGAAAGAAATCCAAAAATCATGCCACTGCCCATCTCTCCCAGAACTGATGAAAGATCCTTGAACCAAAATACAGCTCTCCTTCTCTCCACAAATCTTGTATGATCTGCTAAGTACTTCCACTACTTTCTGTTTTACTTAAGGTTAAAACCATTGATCATGCTTGTTCCTTTATATAATCCGGTGAACCAATCAGTTTATGGTTGAAATCATAGACATTTTAAATTAACTGTGAAATGGGTGGGCAGTCAACTGACCAACATATTCTGCCAAGAATACTATCATTGAATGCAATAGTTGACTTTATTGGTGCTAACATTCAAAAAGTTCAAAGTTAAAGTTCTAAACAAAATCTTATTCATCATTCTCCTAACTTTTCATCGCAACACATTGAGAGAATGGTTTGCTAAGTTACTTAGGTCAGAGACGAGGAGAAATCTATTCTCTAACGGTGGTGCATCTGTGGAATTCTTACCACGGAGGGCTGTCAAGACTGTGATCATTAAGTATTCAAGCCTGAGATTGACTTTTAACCAGTAAGGAAATCAAGGGTTATGGGGAAAAGGTAGAAAAGTGGAACTGAGGAATATCAGATCAGCCTTGATTTCACTGAATGGTGGAGCACTCAGTGAGCTAAATGACATACTTACGCTCCTACGTCTCGTGGTCTCATTCTCATAGGCTTATCTATTTGAGTGCATCAAGCTTCCTGATAACCAGTGC